TGTTTCTGTGTTTCCGTGTGTGTGTGTGTGTGTGTGTGTGTGTGTGTTTGTGTGTGTGTGTGTGTGTGTGTGTAGGGGAGAGGCAGTATCAGCTGATCAGTGAACTTCAGGGATTCTTCTGTCTTTGTTTTCCTAGCGCTAGAGGTACCTTCACTGCACCCAACTTTTTAGATGGGTTCTGGGGATCCAAACTCTGGTCCTCAATATTTTTGCCTCAAATACATTATCAACTGAACAATTTCCACAGCCCAATTTGGTTCTTATCTTTTAAATTTAAAAATATTTATTACTGATGTGTGTGTGTGATATGTGTATATGCGCACATGTGTGCAGGTCAAGGGATAATTTTATGAAGTCAGTTCTCTTCCACCTTTACCTGGGCTCCAGGGATTGAACTTAATTTGTGCAGCCTTGTGCAGCAAGCTCTTTACCTGCTGAGCTATCTCCTTGGCCCTCTTTTCTGGTTTTTGTTTGTTTGCTTTGAGACAGTATCATGTAATCCAGGCTGGCCTTCAACTCTCTGTGTAGCTATGATTGCCCTAATTCTCCTACCTCAGTTTACAGAGAACTGGCATTACAGGCCTGAGCTATCAAACCTGGTTGAAAGATGAATTTTTGTAAATTTAGGAATTAAGCATTAAAAATTGTAAATTTCTAGGAATTAAGCATTTCCGGGGGACTAGAGAGATGGGTTAGGGTTAAAAGTACTGGCTGCTCTTGCAGAAGGCATGGGTTTGGTTCCCAGACCCACACAGCAGCTAACAATCATCTGTAACTCCAATACCAAGGGATCCAATGCCCTCTTCTGTCCTTTGAAGGCATTGCATGCCATGGGTGCACTTTACTCATGAAGGCAAAACACTTATATGCACAAATTAATTAATTCATTAAAGACTGAGGCTGGGCATGGTACTACATATACCTGTAATCCTAGTACTCAGGAGGCAGAGGCAGGAGGATGGTGAGTTTGAGGTCATTGGGGCTCTACAGAGAATTCAAGGTCAGCCTGGGCTACAACAGTGAGATCCGGTCTCAAAACAAATCTGAGAAGAAGGGTTTGCTTTCAGGACCACTTGAAAGCATGAACAAAACCAAGAGGTCTCAAACATAGATCTTAACATCACATTATCCAAAGCTGTTATCTCTAGCTTCATGTGACAATTTAAATTTCAAGCATTTTATAATTAAGTTCCTATTTCACACTAGCCACATGTCAAGAGTTCAACAGGCCATGTGGTCATGGCTAGTGGATACTATGTGAACAGCACAAGCATGGAATAACATTTCCATCACCACAGGAAGTTCTTTGTTATGGCTGGTTGGTTGGTTGTTTGCTTATTTGAAGCAGGGTCTCATGTAGCCCTGGCCGCTAAGTAGAAGAAAATCTTAACTTTGTACTCCTCATCTTCCTGCTTCTGCTTCCTAAGTGCAAATATACCATAGTATTTGGCTCAGAAAATTTTATTGACAACATAGAAATGCCCAAACCCAGCCTTTAGGCTCATTTTGTTATGTCAGATAAATTTTGGGGAACTTTTGACAAGTTTCCAAAGTTGTAGTATGGAAGTAGTTATTGGAATTACCATAAATTTATCCCAGACTGAGTAGTTTGGCTGGTTTTTGCTTTCTGTTCGATCTAATAGGCTCTAAGAGATTTTGTGGTGATTTTGTGGGCCTTCTTGCAGTGGCACAGGATACAATACCAGATCAGCAAACCTGGTCATGTAACACAGTCAAATGGTCATCATTTATTGTGTGTTTCCTGTGTAACAGATACTGTGCTAAATAGAGATTTCATTCAGTGTTCCCCAAACCTCTGTCAGGTATATATGATATCCATCATTTTTCACATGAAGATACTGAAGTTTAGAGGTGTAAGATTACAGGGTGATTGATGGCAGCATCTGGCTCTAAGAGCCTTGAGTAATCCTCTTTCTCCAGTTCTGCCTTCTGCAGCCTGCATGACCTCTCTCTTGGGCCAGGCTCCATTCCACACATGCAGCTTTCCTTGAGGGATGTCTCATGGTCCTGGCATTTACAATATCCTAGGCTCTCTATTGCAACTTAGGCTTCATGTCCACGGCTTCACACGGGGCACTCTTAGGGCCTTCTTGCAGGGAATTTGTTCCTGTTGCTTGACATTGAGCTTGTCATATTGCTTGACACTGAGCTTTCTGGAACTGTAGTGCAAGCTTGTAAACCTCCATGTCCCTGTAGTTCTTGCATTTTGCAGGCCTACAAAACCAGATCTATGTGGATGCTTCCAAACTCTACTGCAAATTTAAGTTGTAGTCTGGCCCCTTTCTACCATAGCTGTAGCTGTAGTGGCATCTCTGAACCTTGACAGCCAAATCTGGCAAACAGTTCCCTAGGCAGTTGCTTTTTTTAATGTGTGTGCCCCCAAATGTGTTTGTGTGTCTCTGAGGATATGCCACATAAGTATGGGTGCCCAGTGAGTCCTGAAAAGGGAGCCAGAACCCCTGAAGTTGAAGTTACAGGTGTTTGTGAACTGCCTGATGTGAGTGCTAAGAACTGAACTTGGGTCCTCTGGAAGAGCAGGGAGTGTTCTTAATTGTTAAGTCATCTCTCCAGTCCTTAGCAGTTGTTTTTGAAAGGAAACTCTTCATTAGTACTCTCAGTTCAGGCTCTTTCCTTTCCAGTGAATTTGCTTTTCCCCCCTCCCCTTCCCCCTCTCCCTCCTCCTCCTCTTCTTCCTTCTTCTTGTCTTTCACTCGCATTTCTGTCAGCATTCTGGCCTCAGTAACCCCTTTCAGCATGGCTCATTAAGTTCTACTGACAGTCTTCTAAGGCTTCCCTAGTCCACTGCTCCAAATTCTCCCACACTGCTCCTGCAAACTAGTTTCAAAGGCTATAGGGTCAGGTTTATCAGAGTGAAGTCCTGGTAACAATTTTGTGTATTATTTACTTCTCTTGTTGGGACAAAATGTCTTATAAAAGCAACTTAAGCCCTTATTTTGGCTCACAGTTTATGGCAGGGAAAGTTGACAGCAAGAGTAGCTCTAGCTCTAAAGGCAGGATCTTGAGACAGGTGCTCACACTGCATTTGGAGTCAGGATGCAGAGAGAGCTGAATGCTTGTTTCCAGCTTGCTTTCTCCTTCTTCCTTTTTATTTTTTAAAGATTATTTATTTTAGCTGACTACGGTGGCACATGCCTTTAATCCCAGTACTCAGGAAGCAGAAGTGGGTGAATCTCTGTGAGATGAAAGCCAACTAGTCTGGTCTACTTAGTGAGTTCCAGGACAGATGGGGCTACAGGGAGACCCTGTCTCAAAAAGAACAACAACAAACAAACAAAAAAACCCAAAATAAGATTAATTAATTAATTAATTTATTTATTGTTTTGGTCTTTTTGAGACAGGGTCTCCCTGTAGCCACAGCTGTCCTGGAACTCACTATGTAGACCAGGCTGGTCTTGAACTCACAGAGATCTGCCTGCCTCTGCCTCCCAAGTGCTGGGATTAAAGGCGTGTGACACCACACCCAGCAGATTATTTTAAACTTTATCACATTTATTTGTGTGTGTGAGAGCATGAAGAGTGCATGAGCGCATGTATGCTGCAGTGTCACGTGGAGGTCAGAGAACAACTTTGTGAGAGTTGGTTTTCTTCTACCTTGTGGGTCCTGAGGATCCAACTCAGGTCATCAGGCTTGGTGGCAAGCACCTTTAAATACTGAGCTATCTTGCTAGCCCCTGTTTATTTCTAATATTTATTTTTATACATGGGTATGTGTGTTTGTATAAACACAGGTGTGTGCTGGTGCCTGAGGCCAGAAGATGGTGTCAGATCCCTTGAAGCTGGAGTTACAGGCAGTTGTAAACCTCCCTATGTGGGTGCTGGGATCCACTAATGCTCTCTGCAAGAGCAGTATGTGCTCTTAACTGCTGAGCCATCTCTCCACCCACTTTTTCTTCTACATTTAAAAATATCTGTTGGCTCCCAGCTTATGAGCTGGTACTGCCTACACTCAATCTTCCCTTTTCAGTTAAATTTCTCTGGAAACTCCCTCAAAGACACACCCAGAGGCTTCTGTCCCAGGTGACTCTAAATCCAGAGGAGTTGACAATGAAGATCAATCATCATACACAACTAGTAAGGACAGCCAGGACTAGGAGTGCCCATTCCTTTGTGCTAAACAGCCCCCCTGTCTCTGGATCTTAACTTTCCATTGTTGCAAATCTAAAAAAAGATTAAAATAGAAAATTCAAAATCTTCGAGTTTCTAAAATTCTGAGATAGGTGGTAATCTGTCTTCCCAAGTAATGAATACACATCGTTTGGAAGAACAGCTTGGTACCTGCTATTCTGGAACCCAAGTTTGATGGCTTCCCTGTCCATGCCTCTATCCTAAAAATCTTCCTCGATTTCCTGTATTTATCATGGTTTGAACCAAGTACCCCTGAACCAGACATGGAGTTCCTGGCAAAAGGCACTCACTCCTGTAGGTAACCCTAAAAAACGAACTAACCCAATGCATGGTGCTCCTGGTGCTCATTAATTTTAATCCGTGAACAGTTTTATTTTTTTGAGAAAGGGTCTCCCTGTAGGGCCAGCTGGCCTGGAACTCGCTAGTAGACCAGGCTGGCCTCGAACTCACAGAGATTCACCTGCCTCTGCCTCGCCATGCACGACCACGCCCCGCCAATCCGTGAACGTTTTAGGGAATTAAGTGGTTATTGTATGAAGAATGTGAATGCAGTTGTGAACTATTAGGGAAATTCTCAGAAGACTGGACCATGGAATAAAGCTCCCGGTAAAGAAGTCCGTGCTAGAGGTTGGAACTAAATTCTGACCTGTGAAAACCCGTAGGATAACGTGGACCGGGACCTTCCCAGGCGCTGGTGCTGCTGCAGAAGCAGCAAGCCCCGCCCAGCCCGGAAGCGCGATCTCCGGCGCTGCGTTCCCCCAGCCCCGCCCTCTCCGGAGGCCCGGCTGCTCCGCGCCTGCGCACTGCTGCGCGCGTGGGTGTAGCGGTACGCGCGGCGGTCAGCTGACTGCTCCGGCCGGCACGTGACTTGCTCTGTGGGCGTTAGGGCAGAGGAAGCCTGGAGGCCGGAGCTTAGGTCCGGGAGGGATGGAGGGTTGAGCGGTTAGTCTGCCAGGCTGCCTGTCTCCGCACGTGCCGCCGCACTTCCTCCTGTGATACCGTCCCGGGTCAGTGATTGACGGCGATGCGGGAGGGATCCCGGGCAGAGCTAGCGCTGCGGTGGCCGCTGGGCAGGGATGGGGGCGGGCGCGGTGGCCGAGGCTGTGGCGTCGGAGCTGGAGCCGGGCTGGCCAGGGAGCCCTGGCTGCTCTCAGGTTGCGGGTTCGCAGC